AGAGAGACGCGCTTTCGCCGCGACAATATTGGATCTCGCAGAAATTGTTTCGCGAAAAACGACAAATTTCGCAGAGTTTAACAAGTTTCCGAGATATAACGTGGTAGGTAGCGGCGGGGGAGAATTAGCGAATTTCACTCTTCATCTGGAAAGTTTGGCGGTGCCGTGGCAAAAGCATATCGCAAGGACGAACATACGCGCGCACACGCTCGCGCGGGGTTTATCCCGCTTCGACACCTCGTCGCGATATTGTGATGAGATTACGAAACGCAGTTGGCCGCCTCTCAATGCGAGATATACGTCGCGGTATTCCCTCAAATCAGCTCGCCTCCTCTCCGGCTCTTAAGCCGAGCCACCGAGCGACTCGACTCGCCGGAAAATACACGCCGGGTGTTTATAAGTCGCGCGCATCGCGAATCGTATCACGAGGAATCTATACTCGCTGATCTGATCCCCGTGATCCCAATTTGCTCCGAATGTCGAGCGATATCTGAATTAATTTACACAAATTTCTACTCAATTGAATTAATTTATAATTAATTACCTCGAATAACAGCGGAACGCAATTGTACGGAAAGGAGCCAATTGCTAATTTTGGACTTTTTTAGATTTTTATTGCAAAATGTGTAAGAAATTCTCTGTTTTTCTCCTTTAAAAGAAAAATCTTAGAGATGTTTAATCGCAACTGATTCTAAATAATGTATCTTCTCGTGTAAAATTCTTCGTTTTGTAAAAATGTTAATTTATCAAACCATTTGAAAGCACTGTGAGGTTCAAGAAGCAATTAAGATCCTGCAGTATCCACTTCGCGCCAGATTGGGCGAAGCCTTGCACAGTCTCGATTTCCGGTGTCGCTTACTGATGCATCTTAATTATTCTATCACGTAGGGAAGATGAAATTACAAGCGTGTCTGGATTTATTTCACGGACTCGTAATATGTGCTTGATAATAGATACCAAAATTAAAGTATTTGCGAACTAAGCCACGACACGTATTTATAAGCAATATATAGTTTTAATTGCTAAATTCTAATTATTAACAAGCGCACAATTTACCAAGAAGCGGTCTTTTGTTACTCATTTATATACGTCACTCGAAGATCCAGGTGTTTAATACGATTCTGGGAACGGGAGAGGCTTTACCATGTGGCCGACTTAATTATTTCACACCGACGAAATCATTAAATCGCTCATTGAAACCAACGGACCATTTTGTATTCAATTTCTACGCTACTTCTTTCTAACATTTAATAAGCATTCTCTGGATGTCTTTTCGATGTCTGTAAAAAATTGAAATCTTGAGGATGTCGCGCTACGTAATTTCTCACCGCACAATTCAAGATTTGTTCTCCTCGCAGTGGCGCGCAGAAGAAGAAAAGAGGGCCGGCCGCGAAGGCAAAGGACAACGTTCAGCGGCGAACAGACCCTGAGGCTGGAGGTCGAGTATCGACGAGGGGAGTATATCTCAAGAGGACGTAGATTCGAGCTTGCGGCTTCCTTAAGACTCACCGAGACGCAAATCAAGATCTGGTTCCAGAACAGGCGCGCTAAGGACAAAAGGATCGAGAAGGCGCAACTGGACCAGCAGTACCGGTATATTCATTTGCACTTATTATACAATCCTGCTTATAGGATGACCTGAATATGTTGTCATAGTTTTTTTCGATCCTTTTTAGATCCTCCTTTGACAAATTAACATTTTTACAAAACAAAGAATTTTGTATGGAAAGATACATTATTTAGAATCAATTGTAATTAAACGTCTCTAAGATTTTCATTTTAAAGAAGAAAAATAGAGAATTTCTTACACATTTTGCGATAAAAATCTAAAAGTCCAAAATTAGCAATTGGCTCCTTTCTGTACAATTACGTTCGGATTTTTTTCACGTGTCACGTTTGAATAATTATTTGCTTAAAGTCAGAGCGTGATATATTTATCACCGTTATCTCTCCAATTTAAATGTGTAATTTTATCTCGATTCCGATTCGTATACATCGAAGCCGAGCATGGGAAAAATAAGAGGACCATAATAGACCCTACGGAAAACATATGGCAATTCTCGCACGCATCCCACGTCCTTGCATCCCATGCGCGATGCATCCATCCGAATCGTTATCTTGTCAGCGTGATATATTGTGCGTTCGACATAATTACTACATAATGCGCGGCCCTTTGTCTCATCAGCTGTTCCCAAAATTTTACGCTCTCGGTTCCGAACCAAGCTTCTAAGAGACGAAACGGAACGCGAAATTGTATTCAAAAAATTCGGCTGAAAAAAAGACCGTGGTCAAATATACGACTTGCGTGGCACAGAGATTATTGTTTTTTAATTTCCGAATTCCGCTTTCACCTCCGCCCCTTGTTTTCAAATTCTCCGCATTATCAATTTCTAGATTCACACGACGACGATTCAACCTCCCTTTTAGATCGCGCGAAGCATCGACCAGAATCAGGTTTCCGTCTTATTTACAAACAATTACTCCGAGAACACACCGCGGCGCGATTCGAAAGGGGGAGGAGAAGCGCGTCGGGATGTCCCGGCGCCGCACAAAGACCGAAATGTGTACGAGAACTCCTCCTTTCGCCTCGCCTCGATCACAATAGCGGAGACATAATCCTACTTAAGGCTATTTAGCGGTGTATCGCATCGGGAATCAGTCGAACCGCAGTCGACCGTCGCTCACGGGGTCCGCCGAATCCCGGCTCCCGCCCTTCCTTCCGCCGCCCTCCCTTGCCTCCCGGGTGCCCCCCCCGGCTTCGATTCAGTCGATATGCACCTGACGCTCGATAAACCGACGGATAAACGACGGATAAATGCACTCGCCGTGCTAACCGCAGGATTTTCTCATCCACTTGTCGCAACCCTCATAGATAAATCCGTGGGGTGTACAAGTGCGATCTCAATTTGCTCCATTTACTTACATTTATAGGAATTCAAGGGTGCAAGAATGTAAGAGAACAATTCTTCGAAAAAAAAAACTCTGTCAAGCTATCTCTCTTCCACTACAACATTTTCTTCATCTTAGATTATTTGCGGAAGTACGAATTGTTAAATTGTTCATTTCGATTCAGGCGATTTTTATTACTGTAAAATACCAAGCGCGAATCAAAAGTGGAGATAATCGGCGGTCACGCGGAGCTTTCAATATGTTACGGAAGGCTTGATTATGAAGTTCTAAGCGGTTGAGATCTTAACGGGGAGATGCTCTCACAATAACAGTCCTTAACCGGCTACGGTATTAAGAACATAAACGAAGCGGAGAGGGTTGCTAACACGCGATCCACAGTTTAAGTAACGATTTTGTTATTCTCCCCTAATGTTTCGCCGAATAAAGGTCTTTGCTTTCAGTAAATGGGGATGCGCAAATTGATCACGCGTTTGCAATTTCCCTCTCCGAACTGTTCCTCCGGCAGAAATAATTTTGAATTTTGCGTAGAAAATATGGAACATTGATCAATCGCAGTCGCGAAAGTTTGTAAAAAAATTTAATCAAATATAATTACGCGTCGCTTTGCTGTTTTGCAGAAACTTCGCCGTGTCGAACGGTTTAGTGAATCTGCCGCTTTATAACGCGGCAGGATTCTGCGGTCTCTGCCTGTACAAGGATACTTACGGATCGGTGACTAATCACTCTTGCGCATCCAGCAACTCCATCATCGCCGACTCGTCGTCGAAGGAACAACCGCGTTACAGCAGCAGCGGAAGCGAGACATCCGATAATCCATCGAACCTCGCGTCCATAATTTAATTAAATTAAACTTAACGCGAGCAGCGTATTCATCTAATTATAAGTTGAATCCTTTTTTTACGTAGTTACGCGGCATAGAACCAACTCTTAACAGTTTTCGATGCGCTCTAAACAAAAAACATTATAAATAAAATCATCTTTCATGTCGTCATATTAAAAGTAATAATTTCGAAAAACTTTGACATTCTTTGCTGCCAAAAATATGCATTTTTTTCTATTCATCTTGTTCGAAAAATTAGATATCTTTTTAAAATAATCTCTTAAATAAAAGAAAGTTGATCAGTTTATTTTTTGAATAACTAGACGCATGCTTGCCGATACGGATATTTATTTCCACTGTAATTTTTCATGGCAGTCTTAATGTCTCTGTATTCCGAAATTTAAAAAAATCAATACGAGAGATTTCGAACCTTTCACATAGCCGGTCTGTGCACTTTATATCCTCGGTGGCCTGAACATTTACATCGACATGGACGAAATGTTTCGAGCTATAGAATTGATTTGGAGACGTGTAAGCTATCGAATAATCTATTAGGAATATATTAGGAAGTGTTAATAAGTAATATGTAAAGATTTTCGAAATAACGTAATAAAACTTCTGAATAAATCCTGATAAAATTACTTGGCAATCTTTCATTTTAAACATCGAGTTTTGCAAAAAAAACCGATATAGAGCATTTTTCTATACTTTGTCTTAAAATGATCAGTAAAATTGGTTTACGATCAACTTACTTGCAAACTTTTTCTCGCTTCCTGCCGTTTTAATCCTTTAACCATGAGTTTTATTGTTAATTGTAAATTTATAATTGTTGTACAATTGTGTAGACAGCGTTTAGAAGTGCGGAAGAAATAATCATAATTTTTTCGAACGTTTAAAACTTATAGATTTTTTAAACAAAAATATCTGAAAAACAAATAGCCTTATTAAAAATGAAAATTTAAAGTAGCATAAATTTTAGAAAAAAAAAATTCTTATTAAATACTTAGATTATTTAGATTTCAGAAGGATTCTGGTTATTTCTCTCGAGATATACGAAAAGAACGGCCGCAAGATAAAGAAATTGTAGAATTTTTTATACAAAAATATCTGAAAAACAAATAGCCTTATTAGAGGTGAAAAATTAAAATAGTATAGATTTTAGAAAAAAAAATTGTTAAATACTTAGACTATCTGGATTTCGGAAGAAGGATTCTGGTTATTTCTCTCGAAATATACAGGACGGCTGCAGGATAAAGGAATTGTAGATTTTTTTAAACAAAAATATCTGAAAAACAAATAGCCTTATTAGAGATGAAAATTTAAAGTAATGAATATAGAAAAAAAAAATTCTTATTAAATACTTAGACTATCTAGGTTTCGGAAGAAGGATTCTGACTATTTCTCCTGAGATATACGAGAAGGACGGCCGCAGGATAAGGAGATTCATTTTTTTAAACTAAAATATAAAGGAACCAACAGAGTAATAAACACATAAATTAGCGCCGTATGTGTAAATTTGTATTGTATATAATAAATTATAGGAAAAATTAAATCTTAAAAATACTACTTACAGTCTTGCGTGTAACACATTATAATTCGTTCGAACGCTTTTACGTAGTTCGCATAGATATAAATGTACAATAGCTGTGTATTTCATAAGCTTGGTAGGGAATGAAACAACTTTGTAGATATATATACTAAAAAGATGTTTATTAAACGTGTAAAAACAATTACAATCTAAATACATCACGCAATAAATCCGAGATTCTTATCGGATCTCTAGATCCTTGCTTGCTCAAGTCTTTCAACTCCTAAAATCTTGGAGCTGTGCGAGAGCTTTCGAGCTCTGGAAAAATCAGTCTAAGACTCTAAAAGAATCTTTTAAATTTTTAACCCACCTTTATATAACCCAATTCTGAGAACTTTGGAATAATTCCCAAAATAATACTTCAGTTTTAAAAAATTTAGAAACTTGCGGATCACCGAAAATTTCTATACTAAAATACTGTGTTATATCAATTTTCAAAAATTGTAAAAAAACAAATTTTAGTTTAGAAGTGTTGGAATTTTTAATTTTTATATTTGTTATCGGATTTTGATTCTTATATTTATGTTTTTAATTGTTTAAATTTCGAGAATTCTGAAAATATAGGTTCTTAGATCTTTTAAAAAATACCCAACTTTGAATGATATTCGAAGCAATTTAAAAAAACACCTCGTAAAACGCAGAGAATAATTATCATCTTAAACTTACCTCAGCTTGTGCAACAACCTTGGAAGGGCGGCGGTAGAGGAATGTTGCTTCTCTTCGAGTACCAGCCCAAATGGTAAACCAGAAATTAATGAAAACGAAAGATAGCAATTAATACAGTGAAAGTAAAAAAAATGTCAATAACAAACGCCCTGCCTGCTCCGAGCAAAAGAACTCAAATGAACAAAGTGACAACGTCTATCATCTTTATCATCCTTCTCGCATCCTAGCTCCTTCATTAAACTCAATAAAGTCGTTTTCTTCTAAATCAACATTTAAAAGCTTGATCGGGTGTCCGTGAACTTTAAAATATGCGGTAAAACTATCGCACCTTAGGTGTTACGACACTAGAAAGAGTTTTTTAAACGATTAATAGAATTTTTCAATTTTGTTTTTAAAAAGCGCAACTGTTTTTTGAACCATAACAATTTTCTTCCCAAGTTGTGATAGTCTCGATAATGTCGCATTGAATATTTTTGAACACGGGATGCTTGATATTTGCAACGCGAAGATTAGTGCTCGATACCGAAAATACGCAAAGCCACAATGTTTAACATTAAAGTTTTAGAGATTCTCCGACATAATATATATAAAAAAAAGGTATATTTTCTCTTCGATAATTTTGCAGAGATTGTTTCTAATACATATAAACACTAACGACGAAGATAAAAAAAAGAAAGAGAAGGAAACTATATAAAAATAGCAACGATACAACAACAATAGAAACGAAAGTGTGCTCTTCCCGTTTTAAAGCTTTTTTCTTCGCAAAAGAAAGACGAATTAGATGGAATCGGGAAAAATCATTAGAAATAAGTTTACGCAACAGAAAGCATCATAATTGTATGTACAAAATCAATATAATTTATATCATAAATAATAGTACCTGGTATAAATTCGATAAAGATTGAAGTATATTAAAATAAATTTTGTTTTAAAGCGTTTTTTCCTTATTTGAATATATTTTGCCAGCTTGTTATAGTTTCTTCTGTAAAAGGTGCAACGAAATTCAATTCTGTTTGAGAAACACAAAGTGATGGTATAAAACAGAAAAGAAGAAAATCCAAGACTCGAGAAAGCAATCTCAATTTACGATTTAGGATTAGAAAAATTTAAATCAATCAATTTCAGAATAATTTCTACCAATTCCTTCAAATTCATCAAACTTTCGCCAATTTTCTGGACAACAATTCTGGTATTTAAAACACTAGATAACGTTCGAAAGACATTGTAAAACAATACTGCACATGCACACACTTTAGCACCCTATAAATGTATATGTATGTATGTGTAAATGTATATTATAAACACATACACACACACGTATTATGTCTAAGCAAATGAGTCGAAACATTCCTACCTGTGATTGCATTACAGAAGCTAGAGCGAAAAGCCTAGCAAACACTAGTCCTGTCTGTCGCAGCCTGAGAATCCTTTTTATTTTTTTTCTCTCGCTTTTTATTTTTCTTTCTGACACCTGCCTGCTTTCTAGCTTCCTTCTGGCTTTTAAAGCTGCTAATCTTCATCGCTAAAGTTCTCCGGTCCAAACTGTACTAGGCTAACTAGACGCTATTCTAGCACTTTCTAGCACCTTTTCGTAGTTCTAGATCTACCTGAGGGTGGAAAGCAGATTAAGGAATGAGAGGATTGGAAGGATTCGAGAATCGTGCTTCGCAGATACTCTGATCGAGTCTTTAGATGTATACATTTTTTTTATATCTGGTGATAGATGTGAACCCAATCAATTTTCTTCCTCACAAACTTTCCAATCAAGTTTTCAAATCATTTCGCGTGCTGTCGAGAATTCATAAAAATCTCAAAGGACCTTCAGATTTTGAAGATTTTGAAAATTTTCAAGATTTTTAAGTATTTTCGCGTCAAAAGCCTGAAATGATATGACGTAAGAAAATTATGGATTTCTAAACAAGTCCGCGCGAATTCCTTCAGCAAATTCCCCGCTACGAAGAGAACTACAGAAAACTGGGATTGGGTTTTCGTTCTGTGCAAATGGTTTAATACTGCGGATACATATTTAAACATCGATGCCCCGAGATATCGGTGGCACTTTTTTCACTGGCTACAAATGTCGACAGTACATCTACTTGTTCCTTTTTCTGCTTTTTTTTTTTTCTTGTTATCTATCATGTGTCTACAAACTCTTCCTTCAATGTGTACATCCTGACTTGCCATTATTTTGCATACATGCACAATGCAGCTTCGAAGTTATGTAGTATAATTTTACACGTATAATACGAGAGGCCTTCTTATACAACAACGAATAGGGTGTATAGAACATTTTGCACATTTTTAAAAATAAAGTTAGCGTATAAGACTTCGAAGTTGCACAAAAAGATATTCCAGATTCATTAGTTATTCTATCTGGCGTACTCTGTCCTCTCGCAATCCTTCACTCTGAGCTTACAACCTACTGATCCCGCGTCACAAGATAAGACATGATAAAGAAAAGGTTTCTTGTCACTTTTATTTCGCCGACTAGCTCTTAAACAAACATACAGTTTTGGTAATTAACCTAGTTTTACTTCCTAATAATTATTCCTAGTTCCTACAAAACGTTGACAAATATTCTCTTTTGTTGCCGCGTTTTTATCGTTACACATACGCACATTCTCGCTTCCTCTCTCTCTCGCGCTCTTCCTATTGTGAAAAGCATCTTCCTGTATATAAATGACTTCTTCCCTGTCTGGTCAATATTAATATGTAGGTCCTTGCAAAGAACGTGCAAATACATTTTGGGGGATAATGAGAATCTTTATGAATGGAGGGGAGAAGGTAGAGAAATTAGATAGAAAAGGATAGGCATATATAAAGCCTCTCTCACTGCGAGCTAACTGATGACTTTTTTCTCTCTCTCTCTCTTTCTCTCTCTGTTTCTGTCCTGTATCCTGATTGTCCTGCCTGCCTGACTGACTTCCTGACTGTTTTTTCTGCCTGTCGTTGTCTTGTCTCTAGCCTGATAGCCTGCCTGCCTGCTCCAATACTAAACAGTACAGAAGTACTGGCGACTAGAAGACAAGTAGTAGTAGGAGTAGTAGCTTCACCTGAGGTTCAAAAGTCAAGAAATCCGTTAGTCAAGCTCCCTGACCTGTGTAAAGGACCGATTGGGTCACGAGCAAGGAATTTTCGAATCTTTGGATCTTTTGAAGGCTCTGGATTTATACAGGCATCGCTTAGATTCCAGGAATTATTGGCTCTACAGACTTCCATTTCATAGATCTCTGGCTTATTTGATCGATTTAGTAGTGTGCGTTATTAATTTTTTAGATTCTAGATTCATGAATTTGTCAAAGATTTTCAGACGTATTTCTTTTCGAAATCGATTTATGAATCTCTCAATTTCTACATCTTTGAATTCTCAGATTGCTATATATTCACACAAATTTAGACAATTTTTAAAAATTTCCGCATATACGTAAGTTCGTAAAATTTTAAACTAAAATCATAAAATTCGTGAAATTTAAGATCTGCAAACACTCATATTTTTGGTTTTTTAAATTTCTAAGTACTTGAATCTTTCGAATTGTAAAAAGTTTATTTCTGTATTTTCTATATTTCTAAATTTATTTCTAAATTTAAACCTTCACTGTCTCATATCCTGAGATTCTAACTCCTTGATCCTTTAAGCCCTCAGAGGTCCTAATACACAGATTTTATAATTGCAGACTTTCATACTAAGTAAATTCTTCTGGAAAAAATCTCTCGTCGTTTCTTATCACGGAAGATAGTAATATTCAATCAATAACCTGTTTTATATGCACGTATAAAGTAAAATAAAAACTATCATCCTTTTATCACACTGAATCAAAATATCATTCATATTGTAAAATATGAAAAGTAGGAATAGACAACTATATCGCTATAATCACCTAAGCTACGATTCTCATCTATTCTATATTTTGCAACTTTGCTAAGAAATGTGTTAGTTAAAAAAAGGAAACGCTATTTAATTCTGGCTATGTTAGAAACATGATGCGACAAATATAAAGATGCAATAATTGCTAGATGTAACTTTTGTATTCTAACTTGCATCGTTTGCACAAGCCATTAAATATCACAACAATTTTCCTGATCTTCAAGATTTATCTCCCGATAAACTATAATAAATTATAGAGAATCTTCTGAATCACACACGCTGCATATAACGCAAATATATAAGACCGAGAATGCCTCAAATAATTTATAAACTGACATCAATGTTCAAGCAATTCTAAATTGTACACATACACACATAATATATATGTATATGCATAATTCAAGTATATCAAAGTTTATCTATTAATTGTTTGGACTAAATACGCTAACCTTTAATGACGAATCAATAAATTAAAAACGAAAATATTGTTTAAGGCTAAATAAATTCAATTAAAAATTTCCATGAAAAATTATTCGATATTTTCCAAATTTCACGATCACGATCAATGCAGGTAAATAAAATTTTAAATAGCAAATTGAAAGTTATGCTAAAATTGACTGTGCTTACCAGCGAGAAAAGTCAGCGATATGCGCTCGTTTGAATTAATATCTCCTTCCGCTGCCACCTCCGCCACCACCGCCGCCCATATTTCCACCGCCAAGAGAATTACCGCCGTAGCCACCTTGATTGCCGTACCCACCACCACCGCCGCCGCCAGAATTTCCACCGCCCATTGGTCCTGTAACATTTGTGAAAAATAATTAGTTTATTATAGTAATTTTAATTTTAAACAAAAAAAAAAATACTTTGCCGCAATTTAAAAAAATATAATTAATTAGTAGAAGAAAAATAGAAAGAGCAAGCGGAGATGATTAAGATATGCGTAGCGTTATCGTTAATTTTTAACCTTGTCCACCAAAGGGTGGCAGCCATCTCGAATCTCCTGACTGCCGGCCGCTAGGACCCGAATTAATGCCGTACGGTGCTGGTCTACCGCCCGAGTTAAAATTATTGCGCACTGGACCGCCACCATAACCCTGCTGATAACCACCACCGAAGTTGTCATTGCTCCAATTGCCACCGCTGTTATAACCACCCTGTCCGCCTTGATTCCATCCTCCACCTTTAAAATAATCGATCCTTTTTTTAACGTTCTGAATCCATTTTTGTTTGTATAGCTGTGTATCGTAACTGACATGCAAATCAGTTAGACGACACAAGTTAACCAAGCGAAGATAAAAAGTTTGTCTGCAAACCTTTACCTTGGTTCTGATTTTCCCACGGACCATTACCTCCCCAACCTCCTTGGTTGCCACCACCGTATCCACCCTGGTTACCACCGTTGTTCCAGTCGCCGCCGCCACCGCCACTACCGCGTCCGCCCCAGCTACCGCCGCCCTGGTTGCCGCCGCGGGGTCCTCTGCCTACTCCCTGTCCGCCGCGACTGCCACCGCCGCCGCCGCCGCCGCCACCGGACGCGGATGCCATTTCTGCTCTGCTTAAAGCCTGCAATTAAGTTTTATTAATAAAAAACACGAACGATGGACAGTGATCGTTCAATATATAAAAAAAAAAATCAATTTTTGATAAGTTTTTTTTTATAAACAAATATTCACCTTTTTAACATCAACATGCTTGCCACGAATCTGGTGGTTACGTTGAAGACAGATCTTGTCAACAGGATCATAATCATCGAATTCAACGAAACCAAAGCCACGCTTTTTGCCAGTCTCTTTGTCAGTCACAATGCTGATTGAGTTTATGCTGCCGTAACTCTGAAAGTATTGTCTGAGATCTTCCTCCTCATGATCATCTTTCAAACCACCTACAAAAAGTTTCTTCACAGTAGCTCCTGCTTCTGGTCGACCAATTTCTTGCCTAGGCACGGCTCTTTTAGGTTCCACAACTCTGCCATCCACTCTATGAGGTCTTCAAAAAAATATTTAAAAATGTTAGTTGAAGATTTATTAAAATTTTTTAAACATAAACTTATATAAACAAGCATTTGATTACATTGCTGTTTTTAAATAACAAATCGTTACATACTAATAGCTTTCCAGCGAATAAGTATAAAAAATCTTATTTACCTAGCATTTTGTGCATCGTCTACCATATGAGCACGAGAGTAAGTAATAAAACCAAAGCCTCTGGACCGCTTCGTTTTAGGATCTTTCATAACGACCACGTCCACAATTTCTCCCCATTGCTCAAAATGTTTTTTAAGCGAATCGTCAGTTGTTCTATAATCCAAGCCTCCGATAAATAACTTTCTCACATGTTCTGGCTCATTTTTGCCATCCTGTAATATTAAATAATTGAAAATGTATATTAGTGCTAAAAACTTTCCAAGCATAAATAAGAAATAATTATCAGTGATAGAAATTATTTATTGAATACTGCTTTACATCTTTTTCTTTATATTTAACTTTTATAAAATAAATTTTCAAAACGACAATAATAGCTATGTTTTTATAATCATAATCTCGTGGTTATCAAAATTAAAGATTCATAGAAAATATGAGCAAAATTGTTAGTTTTAATCAAGCTACTGTATTTCATTGTTATATAATCTTCTTTTTGGCGTCATTTATGTTCATTATTGTATATATTATTGTTTGCTATACGACGCCGGTATTGAAACACCTACGAAGATATACCTATGCGCGGAACTGAAAAATTAAGCCATTTACGGTTCGACCATGAGTGAATTTGCGTTTTTACAAACACCGGCATTGCATTAACGTAAAAACGTCATTTAATAACGTGAATGTAAAGGCAAAATAAAGGAAATTAATGCTCTGAAATATAATTCGCTAGATACATCAAACACAATAGTCGTATCAGACATAAAATTTCGTGTTTCTAAGATATATTATAGACCACATTACTCTTACTACGTATGCATTATATGATAATTATCGATACAATTCAGACTATCATGGACTACGTAGCGTGAGCATCAAAGGGACGCCATTCGTACTTACGCCGAATGATTCGCGATAATCATTTGATGATTTGACGAGACTAATACTCACATCATGCTCCATCTTCACCATTTTAAGAGATCTAGACAGGATTGCGAATATACGGGTACAAAGTAGAGGAAAGAAATAGTTAACGCACAGAAAGGACGTTACAACGACACGAACGATCGATTTCGATTCCATGCGCGCACTCGCGTGGACCCCGAGTATAATATGTGAGTCATGAAGTCATGTACTACATGAATCAATACGATGTTTGATTATGAAAAATTCAGCAGTGCACGATATTTAAGAAAGAAGACACGTTTTCTAGAAATATTATAAAAACATTTTAGTGCAAAAAACATTTTCTTTTCAAGAAATAAATATTCTTATTGAATATCGGATGCAGTGTAAATCCACCATTCATAAAAGCGAGTTTTCACTGCGCACAGTAGTGTTTTTATTTTTCTTTCAGAACACACCTGAATGCACCGTGATAGTGTGATGAATAGAGTTTATGCTATTCCCGGTATTTGATACATAGCCATTAGACATGGTTTTTCGAAAAATTTTGGTGCGTTGTATAACAGGCTAAACGTCAAAAGTTTAAGGATTAATTTCAAGAAGTGGAAACATGAATATCATAGAAATGGAAAACGATCCGGTTGTTAAAGAGGTTAGCGTACGAATTTGGATTTTTATTTTAATTAATGATTCTGTTTATCGTTAATATAACCTCAAAATTGTTTAGGTTAGGTTAGGTTAGGTTTTATTATTCTTTGAACACGTGGTACAAAACATTTTATAATTAATAAAATTTATAGTATAAATTCAATAATATGGATAAAATTTCTTGTATGATTCTGTAGTCTGATCTGTAGTCTATGATCTGTAGTCCCATAGTTGTCGCGTATTCGATATTCATATTTAATCTATTTACTTAATTTTTTCCCTCAATATTCTTTGCTTTTTGTTATTCATTACTTTTTGCTTATTTTATTTATTTCTCAGTTATTTTTATTGTAATATGCATATATAGAAAAAATTGATAAAACTTAATAATTACGAACAGTATTATTAAATTATTAGAATGTTTGATTTAACGCAAATGATACAAAGAAAAAATTATTTATAGATTCCTGTATTCCTATCGAAGACTCTGGCGGATAAACTGTTTGTTGTTCAATATCCCGCATATACGAAAAATGAGCACTATAATTCTAACTTTCTGAACACTTATATGAGGTCCAAAAATCCGGAGATTCGCATGGAACTTGCGATAGATACAGAGAACAAACATTTTTATGATCCTAATATGGGAGAGGAATTGGCACATCATGCCAATGGAAAATCTATGGGGAATAATGATGAAAGGAAGGCATTTGATAGGTGAGAGAATAGAAACTTTTGCATAACTAATAACTTTTAATTGTAAACAAGGAAGAATAAGTTTTTGTCTTTCCATGAATTTTAGAAGCTAAAGTTAAAACTAAATTTCTCATATATTTATAGCTATAATTTGATATATATATATATATCCGAATAATAATAAACTACAATAAGGAAAGTAATAGAATTGATCACATGTTTTTTTATTAGCGAATTGATGGACAAAGTCGTGCTAACCTCAGAACGGTCGTTACCAGACTGCTCAAATTTTGCAGTCGGGGTCATTCAGGATGACGAATTGCACATCACACCATTGCAGGGAATGCTACGTATGAAATTGCAATGTGATTATCTGGATGAAAGTGATAAGCGTACAAAGGATGGAGCAAAAGGCGCGGGAGAAGGTAATTTATTCTCTAATTTAGCCTATATTGAATCTTTAGAACTTGGCACAAATAGACGAGAAACTCATAAATTATTTGCTAAAACGCAGACAACGACGAGGACGAAGATAGCGCCGCACCGGTGAAGGTGACGTTTGCTAGACATCTAACGGATAACTTAAAGAAAATACAAGAACAATCTTTCCAGCATCATTCCAAGAAGAGTCAGGAAGAGCCCTGGATACAGACAAATTATGTGTCAGCTTATGACACGCAAACCGAAGTAAGCATAATCTTAAAGTTACGTGAATTTCTTCAAAAGAAAAATATAATGCACGTTTTAACTTTATGCTCAATTTCTGAAGAAAAAATTTATTATCTCTCTCTCTCTCTTTCTCTCTGAGATATAATACACCAAAATATAGAACTCTTACTCTCTAAGCTAAGCATATTGTTTTATTTGATTTTATAGTTGACGAGGATGGAAATGTTTTGTCCATCGGCTGAGGAGTCAATAAATTCTCTAAATTTGGCGCCGAAGCAATATGTACATCTATTAGTACCGCAGTTACCTAAAGAGTCTTACTCACAAGGCGTCTCTGGAAATCAAACAAATCTTCACTACATCATGACCTTGCCTTTACTGGATCAAATCAGGATAATCATGAAACATGGTGAGGAAAGCATCGCTAAGGATTTTGACATAGAAATATGATAGCAACATAATAATATGAAAAAATAATATAGAACGTTATATTATTTGAACTCGACACAGTGTATTTTAACTTTTATAATAATTTTTAAATTAAATTTGTTTTTTCTCTTTTTGCAGTGAAAGTCATATCTTTTGCAAAATTACGTGAGATTTTGTTGCCGGAACATGACACAGCGGCGGTGCTCAAATACTTGCAGCAAGTGGCTGTGCTAGTGCAGGGTAACTGGGTCGTGAACAGCGAACTAATCTATCCTAAGGATAGTCTTTCCTCACAGAGCGGGGTCTCTGAACTTATGTGCAAAGCTCGCGATTATATCGTGAGTATTGAATCTAGAAAATTGCGTCATGAAGTACAATTCTGTGTTTATGAAACATGGATTTTCAAGTATGAAAACTAATCACATATATGTCTCTCGTGCATCTTTCAGTTGTTATCATTTACGGAGCAACAATTCCTAAAACGCAACACAATTTCGTCCGTCATCAAGTTAGCGCCGGAAGAGATTAACGAAATTTTCACAGATCTTGGAACGCATGAACCGAAAAAGGGTTGGCGGCTAAAAGAACCGCTCAACTGGGATTTTTGCGACAGGTGATTGCTAGATTTCTCCTTCGAAAATTTCACAACATTTGCAACAAACTAAACTAGAAACTAAATTATAAACATTGCCATGTATCGTTCGCAGATATCCTGAGATCGCTCAACGACAGGAGATGTTCTGGGACGCAAAGCGGAAACACTTGCGTGAGGCGATGGAAGCGCAGAACCAGCCGCCGCAGCGTCAGCGGCGGAAGTCGCATCGGGAATCGTTAGGCTCAGAAAACGAAGAAAGAAACATCGGCCGTGGCCGGAAGTCGTTGAGGGATTCATCTCTGTCGGATGATGGCGCGACCGAACCGGCCAAGCACAAGAAAAGCAATCGCTCCAGAAAAGTGTCGGAAACCACTACGTGACTAAAACCGATGCGTTAAGACAACTAATTAAAGCTCCTTTACTCACTTGTTAACTTAATTGTCGCGACATCCATTTCTCAAAACTGCTTTGGGAAATGCCAACGGATTCG